CTTTCGTGATTTTTAAAATTACAATATTTATATATCTTTTAGTAAAAAAAAACAGTATTGTACCTGAACAAATATTACGTTATAGTAGGTATTGAGAGAATTATTATTATTATTATTAGTAGTAGTAGTAATAGAGAGAGAGAGAGAGAGAGAGAGAGACAAGGAAAGGAAGGTTGGCCTGAGGCTGTGTGACAGACACAGTGCTTGTCTGACACACTGGCCCACCTAGCCAGGTGCTGGAGGCAGAAGTCATACGTGTCTTTAAGAACAGGTATGACAGAGCTCACACAGCCAGGAGAGAGTGAATCCGGTAGTGACCAGGGGAGACCAGGAGCTGAGACTCGGTCCTGGCAACACACACAGCGGCAAGCTCAGAGGCGGGTCCAGGAGCTAGGAGTTGACCCCGCCACCACCACCACCACAACAACTCTTCTTACTCCAACACAGAACACTCAATCAAGATCCTTTTGAAGACTTGTCAGCCACAGCTGTTGGCGTGAGACAAACCTAGATATATTTTTCTTCTCTTTAAAACATCCCCTTCCCCTCCCCCTTCCCCCTTTTTCTTTCTTAACCCGACCAGCTCTTTCCGTTAACCTGAGCACCATTAACCAGCCTTCCTTGCGGCCAAAACACACTCTATCTTCTTTACCTTCCCACCCACCGTCTACCAGATACAGTAACAATGGATTCAGTTTCGTTTTCAAAGGCTCTTTGATTGCGATTCGGTCCTGTGTGATGCCAATTGAGCTTCGATAAACACGTACTGAATCCTCTGGTACCAACCGCCCAATGCCTTCGTCCAGACTATTACACTATTGTCACTGGGTAGAGGTAGATGTTTTTACGGGTAGATAGAGCGAGGAGGTGAGGAAGTTGAGGTGTGTGGGGATGAGAGGGACCTAGAGAGCTCATTATTATTTTTAAAGGTTCCTGAAAGAAATGTTTAGTTAGTGTGTGAAGGTGAAGTTTTAGGATAAGCAGGAAGAGCAGAGGATAGACAGGATCAGATGATAGACATGAATAAATGGTTTAGAAAACTGGCAAGCTGGTAAATTAGACACTTGTGCAACATTTGGGTATCCTCATTCGGCAAACGTTTCGTCGGCCAGTGACTTCTTCAGTCCAATGCAGAGAAAGGTGGAAGATGAGGAGTTTGAGGTAATCAGTCCCTCAGCCTGGAGTCGATGTGTTCGCGGAGATGTGGCTTTTATACTTCTGACAGATGAGATGGAGGAGTGGTAGGTGGAGTCACCAGTGGACGAAACCATTAGTGGAAGTAGGTCGTGTCTACATGTCAGATCAATTTTAAAGTAATCCCAGCATTAATATGCCAAGGTGTTGCTGTGTCTGACAGGATGTGAATAAATGGTGTACAAAGCCACCAGTGGTTTTGTCCACCTACCACTGCTCCACCTCATCTGTTACCAGTATATAAGCCACATCTCTGCGAATATTCTGCACTTTTATCAAGATTGACGGACTGAACGCGCCGACTCCAGGCTGAGGGACTGATCACTTCAAATTCCTCCTTATCTCCGACTTTTCTCTGCATTAGACTGAAGAAGCCACCGGCTGACAAAACGTTTCCAGAATAAAGATGTCCAAATGTTGCACAAGTTTCTGTCTCATTTATCAACATGAAGATGAGAGGATGTTAATGTACACTATCAGTTGTCTCGCCTTGTACACTGTGAGGGAAAAGTTCAACAGATAGGAGTATCGAGCAAGTACATGGTAACAATAGTTTGATTGCTGGCTACTTGTTAAGGTAGGGTAAGTCTAGCTCCCGCTATCCCCCCCTCCTTCCCCCCCCCCGAAAGGTGACGTGTGGGGCTCCGGTCAAACAGTAATCACTTGACTCTCAACTCCCAGCACTACTGTAAGTACACGCCTGCTCATATTCTAGTGGACTTATTGGTTGAAAGCTTCACTTTTGACCAATAATAAACTTAGTCCTTTCAGTCTTGCTTTATGTTAAAGGTCTTAATAATCACCACGTCTTTTAGGTATTGTACTTATCATGGAGAGTGATTTCTTAAGCAGTGGGTAACCTCTCTTTACAGCTTGGAATGACAGATTGGGTCACCTGCCAACCAACGAGAAGAATTGATGGAGACGGACTAAAGTCCTGAGACGTCTCATGTTGGATCTATCTACCTGTTATGTATAGATGCAGGACATAACCCCTCATCATAGCAGTGGTAACGAACCTGCTTTCCTGTCATCTGGACTAGTTATTCACGGCTATAGACTGTGAAGAACGAGCCGGTGGGTTGTCACCAACACCTGCGACCCCCCCCCACCCACATCATCAGCAACGGTTACAACTTCAACAACACGCAGTGTCACCAACACCAGACACCCCAGTATCACTATATATATTAGCATTGAGTTCAAATGTTATTTTTTTCATTTCATTTTTCATTTTTCTTTCAAATAGGATATACCGCTCATGTTTCCTTGTTTTATGTTTGCTTTAATAAATAATAGTGTTACCTGGAGTTTACCTGGAGAGAGTTCCGGGGGTCAACGCCCCCGCGGCCCGGTCTGTGACCAGGCCTCCTAGTGGATCAGAGCCTGATCAACCAGGCTGTTACTGCTGGCTTCACGAAAACCAACGTACGAGCCACAGCCCGGCTGATCAGGAACCGACTTTAGGTGCTTGTCCAGTGCCAGCTTGAAGACTGCCAGGGGTCTGTTGGTAATCCCCCTTATGTGTGCTGGGAGGCAGTTGAACAGTCTCGGGCCCCTGACACTTATTGTATGGTCTCTTAACGTGCTAGTGACACCCCTGCTTTTCATTGGGGGGATGGTGCATCGTCTGCCAAGTCTTTTGCTTTTGTAGTGAGTGATTTTCGTGTGCAAGTTCGGTACTAGTCCCTCTAGGATTTTCCAGGTGTATATAATCATGTATCTCTCCCTCCTGCGTTCCAGGGAATACAGGTTCAGGAACCTCAAGCGCTCCCAGTAATTGAGGTGTTTTATCTCCGTTATGCGCGCCGTGAAGGTTCTCTGTACATTTTCTAGGTCAGCAATTTCACCTGCCTTGAAAGGTGCTGTTAGTGTGCAGCAATATTCCAGCCTAAATAGAACAAGTGACCTGAAGAGTGTCATCATGGGCTTGGCATCCCTCGTTTTGAAGGTTCTCATTATCCATCCTGTTATTTTTCTAGCAGATGCGATTGATACAATGTTATGGTCCTTGAAGGTGAGATCCTCCGACATAATCACTCCCAGGTCTTTGACGTTGTGTTTCGCTCTATTTTGTGGCCAGAATTTGTTTTGTACTCTGATGAAGATTTAATTTCCTCGTGTTTACCATATCTGAGTAATTGAAATTTTTCATCGTTGAACTTCATATTGTTTTCTGCAGCCCACTGAAAGATTTGGTTGATGTCCGCCTGGAGCCTTGCAGTGTCTGCAATGGAAGACACTGTCATGCAGATTCGGGTGTCATCTGCAAAGGAAGACACGGTGCTGTGGCTGACATCCTTGTCTATGTCAGATATGAGGATGAGGAACAAGATGGGAGCGAGTACTGTGCCTTGTGGAACAGAGCTTTTCACCGTGCCTGCCTCGGACTTTACTCTGTTGACTACTACTCTCTGTGTTCTGTTAGTGAGGAAATTATAGATTCATCGACCGACTTTTCCTGTTATTCCTTTAGCACGCATTTTGTGCGCTATTACGCCATGGTCACACTTGTCGAAGGCTTTTGCAAAGTCTGTATATATTACATCTGCATTCTTTTTGTCTTCTCGTGTATCTAGGACCTTGTCGTAGTGATCCAATAGTTGAGACAGACAGGAGCGACCTGTTCTAAACCCATGTTGCCCTGGGTTGTGTAACTGATGGGTTTCTAGATGGGTGGTGATCTTGCTTCTTAGGACCCTTTCAAAGATTTTTATGATATGGGATGTTAGTGCTATTGGTCTGTAGTTCTTTGCTGTTGCTTTACTGCCCCCTTTGTGGAGTGGGGCTATGTCTGTTGTTTTTAGTAACTGAGGGACGACCCCCGTGTCCATGCTCCCTCTCCATAGGATAGTGAAGGCTCGTGATAGGGGCTTCTTGCAGTTCTTGATGAACACAGAGTTCCATGAGTCTGGCCCTGGGGCAGAGTGCATGGGCATGTCATTTATCGCCTGTTCGAAGTCATTTGGAGTCAGGATAACATCAGATAGGCTTGTGTTATTCAAATTCTGTGGAGCCAGCCTTGGTAATACTGTTTGAAGTTGTTACAGGGCTGAGTAAGCCTTCACATACACTGCCCAGAGACGGTGTTACTGTGACTCGCAACACAGTTTATACCACTGTTAAAGTTAACTATGTAGCTACATGACACAAGAACCTCAGGGAACATTTCTCACACACACACACACACACGTGTGTGTGTCAATTATTTGCTCTTCCCCAGGATGCCACCCACTACAGTCGGCCACTACACGCTTCCAACACTTGACTACTGTTATTGCTCAAAGGTTCTACCTGCTCAACTGACTTTTTCAGTAGAATACAGGAGATAACACTTGTGATGGGCTTGACACTTGAACCCCTGGTATATTACTCATAAGGTTCACTGTCTTACTGGCCTGCGTAAGTCCCAGTCTAAGTTTTATTCAACAAATTATAATCTATTTCTGTCCAGTAAGTGGAGAAGGTTTTTTCTGATTGGCTTCAAACCTTTAACACTGATACATTTTATGAAGAGGATAATGTCCAATAATCCTAGACTATAGGCGAAAATTTCTCGTTATACTTATTTATCAAACTTTTAAATGTTAGTATGTCTTGGAGGAATAACAGTTTTTGTGGCCTTTGTAGCCTTTTAATTTTGAAATATAAATAGTAATCCGAGTTAAGTCGTCTTACAGAAGGAAAAATAAATTATAACAAAAAAACTTTTGTTTCCCGTATATTTTAAACATTTTCTTTGAATCACCAAATAGCAATCATAGAAAATGAAAATAATGAAAGGTAAACTAAACTATATTTTCAGTCTTTAAATTTGATAGAAAGTAAGCAAATAATAATAATATTTTTATTTGCTACAAGTACATGTGCAAGGTATACAGACCATAGCTGACATCAATGACATACTACTATATAGAAAGTCCCTTGTTATACTGAGCATTTCCCGCAAATTGGGTCAGTTTTGTCCCAGGATGCGACCCACACCAGTCCACTAACACCCAGGTACCTATTTACTGATGGGTGAACATAGACAACCTGTGTAAAGAAACACGCGCAATGTTTCTACCTTGGCTGGGAATCGAACCCAGACCCTCGCCGTGTGAACCGAGAGCTTTAGCTACCAGAGCTAAGCTTCTGTTTAGGACGATCTGCATTGCCGAATAGGTAAAATTGGTCAATTATCAAGAACTCATTTAAGATTAAGTCCTTTCTAAAATTTTCTCTTATATGACAAGAAGACAATCAGTAAGACAAAGTATAACAACTCAGACGACAGGTTCAGTTAGTAGAGGTGCAATAAAAGTAATTTATGTTGAGCACAGTATAATTACTACCCAAGTATATCTTACATCTCACGATAATTATAAATACTACTATCATTGAATATTTGATTATACACCTATAACCTCTAACTCTACCACTTCTATAACCTCTAACTCTACCACTTCTATAACCTCTAACTCTACCACTTCTATAACCTCTAACTCTACCACTTCTATAACCTCTAACTCTACCACTTCTATAACTAACTCTACTACTTTACTATAAACTAAAGTGAATTCACAAAGAATCAGTATTTTACAGTGTAATATAATTCTGTACACTGACTAAGAGGACTTACATATCCTCCAGGTAAACAACACTGGTACATTACATAGAGTTAACACAAGGATAACCTGGGATAACACTGCGGGTTATGGCATTTTGACAATAGAATACCATAACGAGCATTGTCTCATATATTCAGTAAATTCTACCATGATATTCACCCAGGGTAACACAAGGTCAGAAACTCGGGTTTATTTCCTTGACACACGTGTATGTTGTACAGCGCTTGGGGTATGAGTGACCCTTTAGAGTTGATTCAAGGAAGGTGAAGGTAAGTCCAGTGCCTTGAATTAAGAGCCTTGAGGACAGCTCTTGTTGGGACGAGGTTGACCGCTCTGTAGTGCTGAAGTCACAGTACTAGGAGAAATGTTGTCACATTGAAAATTTGTTGTAGGGTCTTTGTCATGCCATCATGAGCCGCTGTGTCACCTGATCACTGTGTCACTTGTTGACCTGTGTAACACTTGGTGTCACCTGTTGATAGTATGACGTGTTGATGGTGTCACGTGTTGACAGTGTCACTCAGCCAGACACAGAGTCATCATCACCATCACCAAGGCACAGTTCCTCCTCTCGTCACCACCTGAAAACATTCAACACAAATATTTAACATAAGTCAAAACCCACACGAAAAAACATTCTCACACATTACTGCATTTGTAATCTGTTATAAATTTATATTTAGGTCTCATAAATTAACTTTTTACAGTGTTGTTGAGAGCACACAGATATTACGACCTTGAGGGCACACAGATGTAACGACCTTGAGAGCACACAAGTGTTACTATCTCACACACAATATTGTGTGTAGAATTAGCCTAGCTACTTACAATATGTTAAGTTAAATGCCGGTGGTGTTTACCTGGAGTTTACCTGGAGAGAGTTTCGGGGGTCAACGCCCTCGCGGCCCGGTCTGTGACCAGGCCTCCTGGTGGATCAGCGCCTGATCAACCAGGCTGTTGCTGCTGGCTGCACGCAAACCAACGTACGAGCCACAGCCCGGCTGATCAGGAACTGACTTTAGGTGCTTGTCCAGTGTTCCGGTGTTGTACACCTGCGTTGTTCAGGGTGTTACATCTGCACGTGTTGATGTGTTCCCCTCATACGTGTCCCTGGGTTACGATTGTTCCTGTATGTCTGGACATGCCTTATTCTGTGTTTACATCATCCTTGCGGAGGCTGTGACAAGATGAACGTCATAGTGAACGGCTGCCCCCATCCTACCTGAGTGAGCATGCTGCGTTATATCTGGTGGGTAGACCTACCTGAGTGAGCATGCTGCGTTATATCTTGTGGGTAGACCTACCTGAGTGGGTGTGGTGGGTTACATCAGGTGGGTAGACCTACCTGGGTGGGTGTGGTGGGTTACACAAGGTGGGTAGACCTACCTGAGTGGTTGTAGTGGCTCACATCAGGTGGGTAGACCTACCTGAGTGGGTGTGGTGGGTTACACCAGGTGGGTAGACCTACCTGGGTGGGTGTGGTGGGTTATACCAGGTGGGTAGACCTACCTAGGTGGGTGTGGTGGGTTATACCAGGTGGGTAGACCTACCTGAGTGGGTGTAGTGGCTCACACCAGGTGGGTAGACCTACCTGAGTGGTTGTAGTGGCTCACATCAGGTGGGTAGACCTACCTGAGTGGGTGTGGTGGGTTACACCAGGTGGGTAGACCTACCTGGGTGGGTGTGGTGAGTTACACCAGGTGGATAGATCTACCTGGTTGGGTGTGGTGGGTCACACCAGGTGGGTAGACCTACCTGAGTGGGTGTAGTGGGTTACACCAGGTGGGTAGGCCTACCTGAGTGGGTGTAGTGGGTTATACCAGGTGGGTAGACCTACCCGAGTGGGTGTAGTGGGTCACACCAGGTGGGTAGACCTACCTGAGTGGGTGTAGTGGGTTACACCAGGTGGGAAGACCTTCCTGAGTGGATGTAGTGGGTCACACCAGGTGGGTAGACCTACCTGAGTGGGTGTAGTGGGTTATACCAGGTGGGTAGACCTACCTGAGTGGGTGTGGTGAGTGTTGAGCAGTGCTGGCAGGTGGTGAGGTTCATCCAGAGTAGTTCTTGCTACCTCTATCTCTACCTCCGTCACCCAGGCGTACTCCTCCACCTCAGCACGGCATCTAGAATAGTGGTTAGTGTGGGTCATTAACGTGGTGGTTAGTGGTGTGGCTAATGAAATGGTTAATGATTGTATTGTTAGAGACGTTATATAAATGTGGCGTTGTTTGTGGTGCCCCTTGTAGGGTGGTTAGTGGTGACTTTAGTGAAGTTGTTAGTGGTGTATTGATATTGCTAGTGGTGCTATTACTGGTGTAATATTGGTATTGCTAGTAGTGTAATTATTGTATTGTTACCGGCGTTATCCAACACAATGAGTCATGAAGGCTTGATACTCCGTCCTCTAAGACAAACACTTCCAGTGATACCTAATGTATTGATCTGGTTAAAAAATATAACATCAGAAGAAGGAGGGAAAACAAGTGTTGCTTGTAAACTCGCACTGAATGCACACCAGCCCAGATATTTCATGAATACATTTGAGAGAACGAGAGAGAGAATTGGCCCATCTTTTGAGCCAAATCTTCCTCTGTACCACGAAGCATCTGCAGTGTGAGATGGATTATGGATTACTCCAAATTTGAGAACGTGGATGAGTATTCTCACGTTGATGACACTTCTTAAGGCATTCACACATGTTGAAGAGAAAGATTTATTATAGTCATTGTCATGCGCCAGAGCGGTGGAGGCTGGACGGTATGTCCGCTTATAATGGTCATGTCTTTGATCAGTTAGACTGTTGGTGAGTTGTCAGTAAGGAAGTGAGCTGACCTGAGTTTGAAGGAGCCATAAGGTGCTAGGTGACGGGAGGCAGGCAGTAGGAGACCCAGCGTGGCCGAGAAGGTAGGTACCTCACCTGGAGACGTAGGTGAGTCCTGTCCACCTGCCCAGGTGCTTCTCAGGGGATACCTGATGACTAGGGCCTCGTCTACCTGTGAGGTGAGGGTGAGATGCTGAGGTGGAGTGTGTGGTGGTGAGGGTGAGATGCTGAGGTGGAGTGTGTGGTGGTGAGGGTGAGATGCTGAGGTGGAGTGTGTGGTGGTGAGGGTGAGATGCTGAGGTGGAGTGTGGTGGTGGTGAGGGTGAGATGCTGAGGTGGAGTGTGTGGTGGTGAGGGTGAGATGCTGAGGTGGAGTGTGTGGTGGTGAGGGTGAGATGCTGAGGTGGAGTGTGGTTGAGAGAGGTGCCTGGACACAGGAGATAATCAGGTTTGGTGTGGGGAAGGTGAAGACAGCAGTAATTCCTTGAACGAAGAACCACTTACCAGCCTGGAGTGACATGAAGCGTCATGCAACTGAAGTGCCTTCTGTCATGAACACTGAACACTTTGTAACCCAGGTAGAAGCTGGCTGACCTCCTAAATGACTGAGTGAGAGAGGTCACTCAGGTCATTCTGTCTTGGCAGGAGGTTGTTACCCTCACTCATATATATATATATATATATATATATATATATATATATATATATATATATATATATATATATATATATATATATATATATATATATATATATATAAACTTATTCTAATATTTTTGAAGTTGATTTAGAGTAAATTATTTGCATTAACTTAGATTTTGACTTTTATTTTTATTAGAAAAATTGCAATTAAATTTTCGTTTTAAATTATTTTTTAATTTAGTTAAATGTCTTAGGTAGAGTAATTATAAGCGGCGCAGCAGACATATAGCACACCTTCACTTACCGTATAGTGGAGGAGATTGTGGCCAGGGTTGTGGCCAGGCTTGTGGCCAGGCTTGTAGCCAGGGTTATGGCCATACTTGTGGCCATGCTTGTGGCCAGGGTTATGGCCAGGCTTGTGGCCAGGGCTGGTATCGTAGTACTGGGCTTGTTTGGAGTATTGATGGGCGTGTCTAATGGCATTGCTGGCGTGACTGTAGGTGTGATGTGTATAGCTGGTGTGGGCGTGGGGGTGATCGTGGCTAGTGTGGGCGTGGTGATGATCATGGCTAGTGTGGGCGTGGTGGTGATCAGTACTTTTCACACCATTAAAGTCACCGATGGTGATGGCGTTGTTGGCAGCATGGTTGGAGAAGCCGAGGCCGGTGTGGGTATGGCTAGTTTGGGCGTCGGGGAGGAGCAACACCCAGGAGAGGATGGGCGGGGGCCAGGAGTGGTACGAGGTACAGTTGAGATGAATAATTTCGCCGTCACGGTACCCGGCGTGATGCAGTCCTCTGACCACCGGTGGTCCGTCTGGTGTGTCTGCAACACATCACTTCTGGGTTAATGCCGTTTAATGTCAATTACACGAGGGTCATTAAAGCTGGTGGGTTGGTTAATGGGGTTTAATGTCTATCTACTACACGAGGGTTATTAAGACTAGTTGGTTGGTTAATGGGGTTTAATGTCTGTCTATTACACGAGGGTCACTAAGGCTGCTTGTCACCTGCACACCACCAGTCAGCAATACTTTAATACCTAAAATGAGTGATTTAAAACAAATTCTCAGTGTTTATACACAGTGAACCATATACACTTCTCAGTGTTTATATACAGGCAGATAATCACATTTGATGTGAGCCAGGATTAGGGTAGCTTCAATCCCTTGGATTACGATCACTTGAGGATCTGAGTGAGTAGTGAGGTCTTGACCAGCACGTGGTGACAGGTGGTGTAGGGCAGGAACACACCACCAGGGGGACGAGGTCTTGACCAGCAGGTGGTGACAGGTGGTGCAGGGCAGGAACACACCACCAGGGGGACGAGGTCTTGACCAGCAGGTGGTGCACGGCAAGAACACATCACCAGGGGGACGAGGTCTTTACCAGCAGGTGGTGACAAGTGCAGGAACACACCACTAGGGGGACGAGGTCTTTACCAGCAGGTGGTGACAAGTGGTGCAGGGCAGGAACACACCACCAGGGACACGAGGTCTTGAGAAGGGCAAATTTCCAAGGATATTAAGTGATGAATATTTTGAAAAACAATCTCAAACTCCTGGGGGTGATTGAGGGTAGCGTTGCTGGGGGTGACTAGTTCTGTGGTGGAAAACTGATTGCAACATTTCTGCCATATATATAGCAATTATAATTCACTTCCCTAAGTGTCGTACCTTGGCTGTGTGTTTGTTATTACGGTGTCAGAGCAGGAGTGACAAAGACGATACACAAGTCAGTTCAAGGCTGTAACACTATAGCATAATTTTAGCGGACAGCTGGACACTGCTTAAACAATTTAAGTTATTAGAGAAGATTGTGTTGTGACTGACCTATGACTGTGAGGTTGGCAGCTCTAGCGTGGGTGGTGAAGGTAGGTGCCTCACCTACCACCTCACACCTGTACAACCCACTCGACGACCTCTGTAACTGCACCAGCTGCACCTGGTGAAGACCAGAACCTGCAATCTGCAACACACAAACACACACACACACACACACACACACACACACACACACACACACACACACACACACACACACACACAAAGGTTATATTAATATTAGACACTGATGGTCATAGAGTAAGGTATAAATGTTTGCTTTTGGTGTTATGTAAATAGTGTTGTAGGGGGGATGATCTTTGGAGATGGGATACAGTAAAAACAAACGTTATGAGAAAATTTTAACAAGATGGAGGAGAGAGAGAGGATAGGGGGAGAGGCTGCATCACTTGCTCTCGTACGCGAGGCACTTAACAAAGTTGAGGATAAGTTAATTACAAATTTGTAGTGTAAAAAGCAGGGGTGCAGTGAGCACGATAAGGAAACACTGTATCAACATCCATGGCCCCAAATTATTCATTATTTTACTAGATATCAGAAACTGCTGGAACACTTAATTATAGAAGTCTTCAAGAAAAAACTGGACAAATATCTTCACCAGGTGCCAGATCAACCAGGCTGTGATGGATATGTGTGGCAGTCGGCCACCAACAACAACAGCCTGGTTGACTACGCTAGCATCAGACGAGTGTGGCCCATGGTCGAGCTCCTGGAGCAAAAAACTTTAGGAACTCGCATATCAAAGGTATATCAAAGTAGGACCAAGTCTGCGAAGACAGCCAGAGGGACGTTTTAGTCGGTGTAGAGGCAGGTGGCTGATACCATAACACCACCACAACACCACCACAACACACCATAACACCACAACACACCATAACACCACAACACACCATAACACCACAACACACCATAACACCACCACAACACCACAACAACCATAACACCACAACACACCACCACACACACCACCCATAACACCACCACAACACGCCATAATACCACCACAACACACCATAATACCACAACACAACACACCATAACACCACAACACCATAACACTACAACACCATAACACCACAACACCACAACACACTATAAAACTATAACTACCAGTCTAGTTAGTTTATATAGACAACAAGATAGTTATCAAACTTGTGAACGCTCTTATATTAACACTTACCAACTTGTGGCAAAATATAATCTCTAACTTTGTAAAGTTGCTTTGGCTAAGTTGGCGTTGGTGCGTGATGCAGTAAACTGTTGATGTGCTCTGGTATGTTGCCTCTCTCTCTCTCTCTCTCTCTCTCTCTCTCTCTCTCTCTCTCTCTCTCTCTCTCTCTCTCCTCTCTCTCTCTCTCTCTCTCTCTCTCTCTCTCTGACTGTCTGTTTCACAATTTACATAAATGATCGTGAAAGTGAACTAACATTTAAAGTTAGAAAGTTTTCAGATCACACGAAATTGAAGAGAGAAGGATCATTAAGGTGGGCGAGTGTAGCAGCAGTGAGAGAAGTGTATCCAGGCTAAGATAAGATAAGATAAGATTTCGTTGGGATTTTTAACCCCGGAGGGTTAGCCACCCAGGATAACCCAAGAAAGTCAGTGCGTCATCGAGGACTGTCTAACTTATTTCCATTGTGGTCCTTAATCTTGTCCCCCAGGATGCGACCCACACCAGTCCACTAACACCCAGGTACCTATTTGTTGCTAGGTGAACAGGACAACAGGTGTAAGGAAACGTGTCAAATGTTTCCACCCTCCGGGAATCGAACCCGGGCCCTCCGTGTGTGAAGCGGGAGCTTTAGCCACCAGGCCACCGGGCCACTATTAAGGTGGGCGAGTGTAGCAGC